CTAGTGAATGGTGTTTAATATTGCAACACACTCTGTGTAACTTTAATGAAACCTTTAAACGTATGTTATGAAATCGTGAAAGATCGGAAAGTTAAAATGGTGTGACAAGAGGATCGGGCAACCGGGGGAGAAGAATCGAGGAAGCGGGAAGGAAGGTTTTCCGGGAGTGTGTTTTGGACCAGCGTGGAGGCAAGTGGCTTGGGGCTCGTCTGCCGTGAGGTGTGAGAATGTGTAGAAGAGTGTGACCTCGGAAATGTCCTTTTTTCCTTTTGAGATTAATCTGGAGTATGGGTGGAGGACAGAGATCCCTTGCGGCCTGCCAAATCCCTACTCACTTCTCAGATCCTGTTAATTGAGATGGAGATGGATGTTGATTTGTTTTGTACTGTCCTGGATCTCACAGCCCATCATGAGGCGAAAATGTATTTGTTGTATTGTCCTGGATCTCTCAGCCCATCATGAGGCAAAAATGTATTTGGTGTATTGTCCTGGATATCGACCTAGCCATGGTTTGCCATACATGAGTGTTTTTGTTTTGTCCTGGATTAGGCAACCTGGCATTGGTTTGCTTGGCTTTCATGTTATGTCGTCCTGGATTGTTGGATCTCCTAGTACTATGTTGAATCAAAGTTACCACTGTTAGTGCTTCCTCTTGAATTTATTGGTCTGACTTCGAGTCAGCCAATAATGTGTTTGTTGAAGTTTAAGAATTTATATTTTGTTATTGCCCATTGTTTGAATTTTTTTTTTATATATTTGCATTTAGTTCCCTTGTTTTCATTGGTTTGTCCTATTTTGGATCTCGGGACGAGATCTTCGCAGAGAGGGGAGGAAATGTAAATCTTGTCACCTTTTTCCCAGACCCGCGGTCCCAGTCGGTAAGACTGTGGACGTCGCCATGTTTATAACCAGAATTGTTTGGTTTTGAAATAGTTCATTTGTTAAGTCTGATCACTTACCACAAATTATAACGTTGTGTGAGACACATTGAAATTACTTTGGAAAAAACGTATGTTATGAAATCGTGAAAGATCGGAAAGTTAAAATGGTGTGACAAGAGGATCGGGCAACCGGGGAGAAGAATCGAGTAAGCGGGAAGGAAGCTTTTCCGGGAGTGTGTTTTGGACCAGCGTGGAGGCAAGTGGCTTGGGGCTCGTCTGCCGTGAGGTGTGAACTCAACCCTTCGTTCTCCCAGCTAGACTCTGCTCTTCGTTCTCCCAGCTAGACTACAACTACATCTCTTCGGTCAGCTGCCCCAACAGAGACCCCTTTTTTACCATACCTCGAAGTGCCTAGGACCGGCCTATCTTCTCTGCGGCCCAACACCTCCCTATATTTTATGTCTTTCCCTTCTCGCCATACCCTCCCGGGGTAAAGAGCCCAGTTGCCTTATCGGCCGGACTCTCCCCCTAATGCTGTCAAGTTAGGGGATATGCCCTTGTGATTCTCTTTTATCTTGTGATCTCAAACTTTTATAGCCTTTTTTATAGAAAGTAATTTTAATATATTCTCAAAGAATCTAATTTTTATACATTTTGAAAGAGTAAATTTAGAGTTATTTATGGGCATTTTTATCTCTATTTATTTGAGTTGNCAAACTTTTATAGCCTTTTTTATAGAAAGTAATTTTAATATATTCTGAAAGAGTCTAATTTTTATACATCTTGAAAGAGTAAATTTAGAGTTATTTTTGGGCATTTTTATCTCTATTTATTTGAACTGTGTATAAAGGGCCTATGATCCTTTAGTGAAGGGTTCCATAGCAACCCCAGGCCATGTAACTTGGACACTCCACCTGCCAGATACTCCAGGGATCTGAGCCTACACCCTCTCAGCTCCCACTAGCGCTCCTACCATTGCATTCTGGCCAAATTGGCACTATCCTTTGGCAAAGCTAATTAGGAATACACATAAACAAGAGCTACACTAGGCACTTGTGACCTTGTGCTTTTTTAAAGAAATATAATTTAAAAAAAAACAACATAACAAGAAGCAATAGGAAGTATTCCTACTAACTCAATCCAGAAGAAATGTCATGAAAGAGTTTCAATATCCTTCTTGATACATATCTTGTCGCAATTGATATCACTGGATAAGGATAGATAAGATAATCAGGAATCATCTCCATATAGAAAAATGAACCCTTATTAACGCAATTTGTTTCTTTGCGCATCAACAATGGTATATTTCTTGATCCTACCACCAAAATAAGAAACTGTACAAGTGCTTCCAAACAGTTGCATCCTAAAATACAATCAACAACAAACATGTATCCAGCCAAGCTAACAAATTATTATTGAAAACAAAATGTCCCTTATTGCTTGATTTTACATGTGTATGCTGTGACAATATGGCGACACTAGGTTAAATAGGGTTCATTTTCAGACTCACTGGTCTAACCAAGGTAAAGCTGAAATCTGATCATTTAACAAGTCATCATTCTATATGCAAGAATCTATGTCCAGTTCTGCTCCCAAATCAAGCATGACAGAGCATAGACAATCCAAGAGATGGGAGTGGTCATAGACCTATATTAAGTATATTCAGAAGTATAATAGATGTTATCTATCTCATCTCCTGCACCATCTGCCCTCCAAATTTTACATAGGTGAAACTGGATGTTGCTTGGGGGATCATTTTGTTTCTAAAGATTTAATCTTCAGAGCCAGTTCCATACTATTTTTGTCTTCCAAATCACTCTGTTCACAATATCAGAGCACATCATTCATTTAGCTCCATAATTCTCACCCTTCTCAGGAATCTTGCCATTCTTTAGAAAATCATTAAAATTTCATCTTGGATGGAAGGGTTGATGCCATTGAGTGAGCTGGTACCATTTCTTTTTTGGCTCCCAATTCCCTTCCCCACCCCCTCTCTTCTTTCCTATTTATTATTTATTATTTTTTTATTTATTCTCCTTTTTTTATTTTTCTTATTCCTTCAGGTACTACCATGCCATTACCCTGAAGGCTAAAGTTTTTGGAAACTTTTTCTCTCATCTTTTTTTATTACAGTAGAACGCCGATTATCCGAACTAATTGGGACCGGGGGTGGTTCGGATAACCTATTTTTTTCGGATAACCGAACACTCCCACGGAAAGGTTGCGTTAAAGAAGTTAGTGCATAGAATACAATATACAGTAATAAAAAAGACGGGGGCAGTTCGGATAATCGGCGTTCGGATAATAGGCGTTCGGATAATCAGCGTTCTACTGTATAAAGTACTGAATACACAGAAAATTCCAACTTGAGCAAGAAAATCAGAAGGGATGAAACATGAAATTCATAAAAGCAAGTAGATCTTTCTATAAAGGTTTAATTTAAATTAATCTTTTATACAACCAGGCTGGTGTTAGGCCTTCTGAATGGGAATGGGACAGCCTATGCCCATGAAAAGCTTAAGGAATCAAAGGGGAGAAATTTTGGCCCAATTCATTTTTTCCTGGTTGTTCCTAGAGAGAAATGGTTGGCTATGCCAGTCAGAAATAACCATGGATTCCTAATTGTACTTAGAGGTCCTAGTGTATCAATTAAACAATTACTCAATTACACAAGAGCAAGTGGTTCTGAGTCAGGGGAGTCAAACAGCTGGATTTTGAGATTCTTCAAAAAATATTTCCAATCATTTGAACCAATTATAAACAAGTTTGAGCTTGATAGCTTGAGCAACTGGTACAAGGAGCAGTCACAATAGATCAAAGAAGTAAAACTGCTACTTTAAAAGGTCAATTTTAGTCAGTTCAATACTGCCAAGAACCAAAACTTCAAAGAATTAGTGCCAAGACTATCTGCATGATCTGACCATGAAATAATACCTTATTTGACCAAGCTAAATATACTGAAGAATAAAATAATTCTGTATAAGGCAGAAAGCATCCTCATACCTGGCAGCAGCTCGGAAGATGGATTGAATGCAGTAATAGATGGCAGCAATAGGGACAGCAAGAAGTAGGAACCAGGGGACCACAATTGAAGTGACAACCAGAGCAGAGATGCACAGCAACAAGAAATACAGCAGCCGCTGAATGGCTGGTGCCAAATGCTGCATTCATAAAAATGAGTAATTTACAATTTAATTATACTTCACTGGGATGGAGCAGAAAAGACCATACTTTGTCCAGGATGCCAACATCAGCTGAGAAGCGGTTGAGGAGGCGTCCAACAACTGAGGCAGAGAAGTAACTCAGAGGACATGAGATAACAACTTCAATAAGGTGCTGGTGGAGGGATTGACGTGCCCTGGCTCCTGCATACTGACCTACTGTGTGTGTGCACAGGATCCCCAATATAGAGATGATGCATAGGATGCCATACACCCAATAGTATAGCCCAATATGATTCTGTGAGAAAAAACAAAGAAGTCACATGAAGCAATGAAGCACCAAAAAATGTACTTACTTATGACTTATTCTGTTTCAGTTGCAATTTATATTGTATCATGAAAAATTTTCTTCCAGGCAAATACTTATGTGGAAAAGGAAGATTGGTCATACTTTAATAGACTCAATCAAGAAGAAAATTCATGATTTTTTGTGTTCCTAATTCTCTTAGGAATTATGAAAAGTTGTAGAATGAAATTTGGCACACTCTAGGAATATATACAAGCAACTATGAGATTTGTAGAAAATGCCTGATAATAAAGCCACAGAAAATAATAACCGAGAACAAAAAGCTGTGCATGCAAAAGAGGTTCAAGTGGCTGGCTCAATGTTTGCCTCCTCAGTTAGTGCCTCTCAAGCAGTGGTAAAGCAAGGGGGGGCTGAAGTCCCCCACAACTTGGGTCAAAAGCATCCACCAACCCCCCCCCCCCAACAAGAAGTAAGCCAAATTGGCAAAGTCCTGGCTATGCCACTGCTCTCAAGTCAGACATGGTACAAGTCCCATCTCCCTGAAGACTGAGCACAAGATCTCACTTCACTACATGACTATTGCTTCCTCATATTGGCCCTAACAAATGGTCTGATCAAAATTTCAAAATTTCAAATAATTTTTCGAACACTGATATCTATGATTCTGTGAACCTTCAGGTATAAAAGGAAAACTTTATATGCAACAACAATTCATATTTTATGAACCTCTGTAATCTTCTGACATTTTATCATACAATATTTAAAAGAATCATATAATCACATTGGAATTAACTGATACTACAGTTAGATTATTTACATTTTCACAAGGAAAAACATAAAGAAATAAAAAGAAAGTTTTCAACAGAAGGCTGCTCACATCTTTGTTTAGGTCAGTGTGTAGAGACGTAGCATTCCGTACAATGACATCAGAGTGGGCAGCCCATCGGCCAAGCCAGAAATCCATCCCGATTCGGATGGCCTGGGATGTTAAGGCCAGGAGGAAATAGAGGAAGGCTGGAAGGAGTCCACTACTCTTCACATACACCTGGTATAGGGTGCGAGGGATGTGACCTCGTTTTCTCTCATCATCTCGCATCAAAAACTCCAGCTCCTCTATATTCACATCTTTTAAATTACACCCAAACAACAATGTTATTAAAATATCTGAATTCGCCTAAATTTTATTGGTATTTCAAAGGGGCAGAAAGGGCAAAAAGGAAATGCATGGATTAAATAAAGAGGCTCCAAATGAAAAGCAAATTGAAGAACTAAAGAATGTAAAATTCAGGAAATATGATGATAATGCAACCTGTGCAGGTATATTTCAATTTGCATGGCAGGCTTACATCTATACTAAAGCACAAGCTCATAACTTAATAATAACTGAAAAGAAACATCAGACAGTCCAACAACAAACTAAGGGTTTGAAAAAACACATCCTCATAGAGTATGGTACTGACTATTGACTTACATTCTCCAGTCTCAAGGGAGATGCCAGTGACATCACTGTACCATGATGCAGCTGACTCCTTTTTCCTTAATAGATCTTTTGCTGATGGCACACTGTCTTTATGCAAAAGATCTGACCTACAGAAAGTGGAACACTTATACACTATACATCAACTCATTCATCTATGAGCAAAAATGAATATTTCTTCCATTACCTGGTAGAGGTATGGGAGAGCAGGCTTTGATAAAAGTGTTTCCTGATGGAGGCACTTGTGCTACCGGGAGACGTCTTGGTACGAGAGAGACACGGCCGCACAAGTGCAGGGGAGGTTTCTGTTGCTGTGATAGATGCAGACTTTGTGTGTGACAAGGGAGGATGCAGTGAGGCAAGGAGGGTCTGTTGATATTGGTTAAATCGGTGTGACTGGCTGCAGTGGATGAGGGAGGCTGGAGTAAGGACACAATCATATTCATCACTTGGCAGCACCATGTCATGTGACACCTGGCGAGTCAGGGACAGGTGACGGCTGAATGGCAAACACAACTCCTGGACTCGCTGGAAAAAGTAAAAAAATGAGAGAGATTGAATGAGTGGATTATAGGGATACCTCCAGAGACTGCATGTTCCAGGCTGACAGTAAATGGGAATTTTTAAAGTGAGAAGTGATTCCTGTGTCAATGGGTCAGAATAAGATATGTCACCATTAAAGAAATTATTTGCTTTTAATTGCACAATTATCACCCAAAAAAGCAGGCTATTTCAGTCTAATTTATAGTTGTAACCACTGATAATCTACACAGAAAAGCAGAAAGAAAGAAAAAGACATTAATTAACAGATGATTTATGTAAATCTCCCATTTATAACATCTTTTTTTTTGCTCCAAAAAATTCACAATTCTGATACATCAGCTTCTGACCTATTACTGCAGATTTATGTTTTAAATTTTGGGGATTGGGATGTCAAGATGTCAAAGGCATTTCTGCCCATAATGACAACTTCAAGTGATAAGTATAGTAATAATTAGGCAAACAATAGAGAAATATGTTTTATGCATGCATCATGCACCCCAATAAGGAAAAAGAACAGACAACTCTTCCAGACAGGTGGCCCAAGTTGTACTGCATAGAGAGCTCTCCTGCTAACTCTTTCCTCTTTCTGCAACACCTCTAACATGTTTTTCTGTCTTCCAAAAGAATAGTCACACCTAAAGCATATGGCAAAAAAGAGGCCAATGACTTTGAGGAACGAAACTGACCTACTTTTTGGCTCAAGAATGCTTCAATTAATTCTTGCTAAATTCGTTGCAAATGTTGCATGACTTCTTCCTTTTCAATTGCTGATGAAACTCCAATAACTCAGACAGACTTACTAGACAGAGAAGTGCCTATAAATATTAGATAAAATTTAAGAAAATTGTGACAAAATAAGGCCAAAGCTCTTTACTCAACCTTAGTACCAATATTTTCAAGATTTTTTTATTTGGTAACAAGGATAAAATTTTAAAATATTTATATTTTTCCCAATCAGAAACATCAAGAAAATTTCAGGAACTTTCCATTCCCCACAGTGAGTCTTCAGCTATTAAGAACAAAAACTAATCAGGTGTGTCCACAATTGGGAACAGGGTGCAGTGAATGGTCAGTTCTAATGTGTTTTTGCTAGGAAGTGGGTAGAATGTGTGAACAAGCATGATCCAGCAAAGATGATAAAATATGCATTAAAGTGTAAAAATGAGCACTTGATAACTAGACTACTCATTGGTAGGGGGAGTTTAAAACAAGCTTTTCCACACTTTTTCTGGAAACCTGGCAGGAAAATACATTTAAATGAAAACTGGCAACCCACACATCAATACTGATACTTTTTTCACAGAAAGTAGGTGAAATATGTGTGAATATGCAGATGTGTACATAAATATGCATCATTGCACACTAATACCAAACTATGCACTTTTATGCATATTTTAAATGGCATAAATAACTTTATAAGTAATTTGCTTAGGGTCTTAGTCAGGGTCTTAAGCCCCTATGACAATGTCAAGAAAAATATTAATTTGCATTAAAATCTTCCTTGTTGCAATGAGCATTCTACAGAAGTAATAATACAAGAATTGATAGCTCTTCCAACAATGGACTGCAGCAGTACTACATGGGAAATATTTCAGCATAGTGGTCATTGGAATCCTGCAGCACCCTATTTAGGCTGCTGTTGTTAGCTAATCCTATGCACAGTAAGTTCTGCATCATGCCAAATCATATTACATTGAAAGTGTTAATTTTTCATGTCCATACTAAAAATCAGTGGCAAAAAACATGTTTTCACCACAATTGCAAGTAAGAACTAATTACAGGGTATTTATGAAGTCCTTTAAATGCTTTAAAAGTTACAACAGCTACGACAGCTTTAAAAGTTAACAACCTTTTACCCATAGAAGAGAACAACATAGTGCACTGTCCCACAAAGCTAAACTCAAAATTTTTTTTTACTATAGTGAGTTGACCTTTCCAATCATATGAAATGTTGCTTAATCTGAAACAGTCAAGTGTTTCAAAAATCCAGTTGATACTCTGACCTTTCCCTTTGAAATTGGTGACAGAACTCCAGCCTGGTGTCATAATCATCCTCTGGTAGGTCTGAAAAACCTGAATTTTGTTGGCATGTGAACCCAGCTTCACTTTAAAATTTATTTAAACTGTCAAAGCTGGAATGTTTATTTCAAGTGAGGCACAGCAAAGTAATTTTTGTGGGCTTTTTGCAAATGCTTTCTGAATGGTTGCTACAGTCTCTGCATTGGTGGTTGATCACCCAGAGTCTTTCTTGTCATGAACTTCTTCATCCAATTCTTAATGGTATTAGGAGAAGGTAGTTCTTTGTTGTAATGTGTCTTGAACCTTCATTCATTGATGAAATTGATTTCAAATTAGATAACTACAAAACACAGTTCACTTTTTCCTATGTTGTTGCCATCATCTTGCACTATATTGGTGCCTATAGATATGTGTAGATCTGATATGTCCTTTTTTAAAAACTTTCTGAATTGGGCTTAGTGAAACAGTTCACTATTTTGTTATATCTTCTTTGGATAAAAAGGTATTAATTGTTTAAAACTGTCAAGGACTTTATGAACACCCTGTATGTGTAAAAAAGAAAATCATTATGCACATTTTGCAATGTGGAGATGGGAATAAGCTGAATATCCTGACAGATATTTACTTGCAAAGTTGCCAGATCATTCCAGAATAGGTGCATGCATACCCAGTCCCTAAAACTTTTCCATAGAAAGAAGCCACTTAAACAAATTCAGGAAGCAGACACTGATGCATCAAGTAGACCAAAAACTTCCTCATGAAATCCAAAAATGCAAAAATCCTTCCTTTGATACAGATCTAGTCCATTGAATGCTGAAAACCACATCTTGATCAAATCTGGTGTTGAAAAGCTATTCACATTCACAGGTGGGCAGGACTTTTGACTCACTCTGTATAAACAGTTTCAACCCCATCTATAGACATCAAACCATTACACACTTTTGCTATGGAGTTCAACCAGAAGTAGGTCTTAAGGGGAAGAAGTACAGGTACAAAACTGTGTGGGAAGGTCTAGTTTTTTTACCTTGTGTGGTGGAGCATGAAAGGATATGCAGCTGGTGATGCTGGGACTGGTTCGAGATGATGATGCCTTGGAACGTCGTCTGCCAGCCTTGTTGAAACCAAACTGGGCAACAGCCTTGAGGATCCTCCACTTCTCACGGGCATTCTCACTCTCCTGCTCCCTCCGGCGTAGCTGCTCTTCCTCAATGGCCATGCATTTGCGCCATTCAAGGCAAATTTCTGGTTGCTCCTCTTCAATGTTGCTCCATGAACCCTGTGTGACGATCTGGCCCTCATTGAGGACCACAATGTGGTGTGCATGGGCAAGAAACTGGATGCGATTGGTGACAAGGATCACTGTTCGTTTCTGCCGAAGAAGGCAACCAACCACAGCCCGCTGAAACACCTTTGCCTCCACCTGAAGAAAGCCTCACTTCAGGTAATGAATCTATTATTCAATACAAGGTCATTCATGATAAGTGTGATATACTGTATTCAATAAATTGAAGTTCCATTTGTGAATGGAACTTCAATTTGGAATGGAAGGCAAATCTGTTCCAAGGCAGATCAAGCAATTTTATGTACCCCATTATTTGAATGTTGGCTTCAAATCATGGCATTTTCATCCACTCGCTTTGAAAACTCCAAGGTCACAGCATCTGCACTCAAATGGTGATTTTGAAAATACTTACTGCATTGGAGAGATAAGAGTGATCACCTGATAAATGATGCTAGGGCCATATCATTTGATCAGAGTGGTCAACATGGTTACATAGATACTTGATATCTTAATGGGCACATTATGGAAAATGTAAAATACAATTGATGCAAGTGGCACAGGTATTGACTGGACAAGCAGTGAACATGATTAATTTATGCTTGCTTACAAGTTGACTTGTATGATTTGCACGCATATACTTGAATGCATTTTCTTTAGACAATATTTATACCCATCTCCTGATAGTCATTGGACATGTCATTGATCAAAATCAGGGCAATACAGTGTAGTGATAAATCGTTGCACTTATTTAATTGCATATCTTGCATATAAACTTTCATTTCTTTGTTCAAGTTTTTTAATCATGTGATCTGGATCATCCACAAAAATTGGAAGAAAGCAATAAAATTTCACAAATCTTAGTGCCTCAAAAATTTGCAAAAGCAAAACAGGCTTGAATTTTTGTTGCTCCATTGCATTCAGCTACCTTTTGAATGATTGCAATAACCAAAAAAACTATGAAAACAATGAATATGCCAAGACAATTCCTCATGCTTCACTGAGGATAAGCCAATGAGATAGGAAACTTCAACCAAGATAGAGACTTCATGGGAGAGTCCATCATTATCCTGTAAGTGAAACCCTTAAGTCTGCAAGTATGACATGAACATTGGACAAAATGTTACATTATGAATTAACACACTTACTCTCCATGCCTGATTTTAAGGGCACTGCAAAATTTGTGAGAATCATATCTTTACATTTTGCTGAAGAACTTCTTTTCCCCCAAATGCATCAGTGACTGTGGTCCCTTGAGGCACTCTGTCCATTGCTACAACACCCTGTGTGTCATACACAGCACAGAACTACTATGACTTTCTGTGAGAGAAGCATCCCAAGCTGCAGAAAAAACGCAAAGACAGGCTCGAGTCCGGAATCATCATTCTTCACAACGCCCAGCCACATAACAGTGCTACAGTGATGTCATTATTGGAGAAATATGGTTGGGAAACACTCCCTAATCCCCTTTAAAGCCCGGGCATGAGTCCCCCAGACTTTGATCTCTTTCCGAAACTGAAGGAGCCTATGCATGGTACCCATTTCAGCAACTTGGATGAGTTATCATGTGCCATGACCCAACACATCCGCCAGTTCAACTTCAATGGACTGCTAACCAGCATCACAGGCCTTCCACATTGATGGGAAAAGATCATTGTGAAGAACAGAGACTATATTAAAGAGCTGTAAAGGTCTTTCCTTCTCAAGGTAAATGTCTTTTTTTTTTTCCAGTCATTGTGCATTACTTTTCAGATGACCCTTGTATAGACGTTTCTTTGAATCAAGGCCAAGGTCAATGGCCACTTTGTCAGTGCACTATGAACTGTCACATCATGACCTCAGGGTCATCATTTTCTACTGTCTGAATCATAGTTCATCTGCAAAGGAGATTCAGGAGTAGATGCTGGGTACTTTAGGGACTGAAGCTCCTCCCTAGGTAACTATTCACTGATGGGTCATTTAACTCAAACTTGGCAGAGACAACTTTCAAGATGGCACCAGATCTGGTCATCACCCTACAGCAACTGATGACCAAATGGTGATTACTGTATGTGAATTGTTAGATGACCATTGAGCTACTTATGAACAGATTCAGCAAACTTTGAAATGCACAAGCAGTTCATAATATTGAAGAGCTGGGAAAAAGGAGAGTTTAGGTATCCTGGGTGCCTCGTGCATTGACTGTTGACCTAAAGCAAAAAAGGGTGGACTTTCACAAATCTCTGTGGTGAATCAAACCAAACAATGATGAATCTCACCCTGTGAAAGACATTTTCACTAGTGATGAAACTTGGGTATATTATTATGGCATCCCACTAAAATGACAATCAACTATGTGGCTGTTTCAAGATGAAGCACCCACAAAGTGTGGAGAGGACCATGTTTGCAGTTTTCTTCTGTTCTGGAGGAATTATAGCATCAGGTCACTGATATGGCTTTCAGGTCACTGTACAGTTAATGGGCATTGATATACTCAAACATGTCTCCCTCAAGTCTTCACTGGTATAAAAAATCTACATTCCACCAGTGGATTCTTCAGCATGACAATGCATTGTCTCACATGGCCCATGCAACACCTTCTCTCCTAGAAGAAAATTTTGTCCAAATTTTTCCCACCCTCCATACTCCCCTGATTTGGCACCTTGTGATTTCTGGTTGTTTAGAAAACTCAAGGAAATGCCGCATGGGCCATTTGAGGCCATTGAAGGGTTGGAGGACAACATGCAAGAAGAAGGCTTCAAAACCTGCTAGCAAAATTGGTTTAATCCTATTGGGATTAAGTTTTTTAAAGCACACCAATCACACTGGCCAGAGTTCTTTTCTAAAGCATAACTTTTGGGCAGAGTGCTTGGGTTTTATTGTCATAGCTCAAAAATAACTAAATATATTGAAATGAAATTTTTTATCCAGGTTCTTCTTACCTTAGTAGTGGTTCAGAGTGTGGTATTCGAAAAAACAAGGATGCACTCAGAGTGATTCATTGCTGGCAACACACATAAATTTCATGTTTTGGTGCTTCTTTTTATGGTACATTGTGTGTTTGCATACATGGCATTTTCTTTGTTAATGCTTGTCAGCTTTAAAAATTTAACAATCACTGCTAGATGGCATGAAATGTATTGAAAGGGTTAAACAAATGAAACTTGGAGTGTCAGGGTGAATACTTGAGTACTTCTTAACACATACTTTCTTGATGGGATATTGTACTTGCAAGTACCAAAAGGGAGCATTGATCACATTTACCCCAAATGATCCCACTTATATGGTTTCCCAAAATTTTCATGACTTCATAATTTTAGGAACATTCAGTCTTGAAGTATTAACAGTCTGTTTAACTCAAATATAGGGAATGACACTCACTACAAAGCAAACAGAGAGAAATAACTTCCTCTCTCATTCATATATAATTCCTGAATTATTTTTAATTCTATATATTGAAGCAAAAAGAATTGTAGAAACCAAATCAAGCTTCTAATGGACTAAAAAAAGACCTTCAAAAGAATGAAAACAGACTTGAGCTAGTCCAATTTTTAGGGCTGGATAGTCAGCATAAACACTGCTAGTGCCACTAAGTGACCAAGTGAGTTACATGTTGTTTGTCAAGGTCAAAACCAATGTCATACCTTAGGATCAAGAGAAGCAAAAGGATCATCAAGAAGGACAAGTCGAGCATTGCTGTATAATGCTCGAGCAAGGGCTACTCGCTGCCTTTGACCACCTGAAATGTTGCTCCCACCAGTCCCCACTTCTGTTCCATCCCCTACAAAAGGTCATAATAACTCACTTCTCATTATCATGGGATTTCAAATGTCATCAATCTTGACACAGTGTGAACACAGCAACATTATGTAATGGCCAAATTGTGCAGACCCAGAAGTAGGCTTCTTCTCAACTTAGAGCTCAATGTTACATTTGCTATTAAGCCAATTTTCTGACAACATTCTTGCTTTCAACTTTCTTACACATTCTTGAATTCAAACAATCTTTTTTAGGCTTCCTAACTAAATTGCTAGTGCTAAAATTGCTGTTTACATACAGTATCAGATGATTTGAACTTCATGACAAAAAACAAATACTTACAAAAGTTGTATTTTTTTTAACCTAATACAAAGAAAACTGACTGCCCATGAATATCCTCTAGCAGTTGAGATCAGTCTCAATGAAGGAAAGGTAAAATAAACAGCATGAAAGAATTGTCAGCTCATGGATGAAGTCCCTCACCAGCAGGGAGAATTCCAAAGTCTGGCTCAAGAAGACAAGCACCCAAAACATGCTTGTATCGCTTGGGATTCCACGAATGACCAAAGACAATGTTCTCCTTCACACTCCCATTGAAAAGCCATGGCCTTTGCTTCACATATGCTATTGATTGCTTCAGTTCTTCCTTGATCATAACATGCCCTCCTACATGGAACATCTCCCCTAAAATACCTGCCAACAGGGATGATTTCCCAGCTCCCAAATCGCCAAGAATCATGGTCAGCTTGCCCTCAGGGAACGTAGTGCAAATATCCCGCAAGACAGGGCTTCCTGAGTTCCAGGAAAAGAAGCTATTGCGGATGGCTACAGCAGTGCAAACTGGATGGTCATCCTCTGGTTCAAAGACATCATCATCTTCATCATCATTGCTACCTGTGTCAAATTCAACCTTGGCCTGAGTTTTCATCAATGTTTCATCCTTGCATGCAGGAAGTAATGACTCTGCTTCTGCGTTCTTCAAGTTTGCTTCAGTTTTCAAATCAGGATTTTGGAGTTCTGAACCCTCGGGTCTCAGGGTCTTCACTTCAGGCAAGGCAAAGAAGTCCAAGAGCCTGCAGGTGCTCACACGAGCCTTAACAAGGACATGGACAGCAATAGGGAGGATGAAGAGTGGAATGAGCATCTGGTTGAAAAATGCAAGGCCTGTGAAGATCTTGGCAGAGGTGAGGGTCTTGCCTTCCATGATACCATACACACCAAATGTCATCAGGGTCACGAGAATAGAGGATGCCTGTGGGATCACACCTAATTGATACAGGAAAGATTGCAAATTCAAATTAATTGAACACTTAGTGGATTAGCCATGAAAGAGGAAAGGGGCTACACTGAAATATCATTAAGTTAATTCAACAGCAAGAGATTCAGAGGATGAAAAATGAATACATATTAAGACGAAAGTGAATCAGGCACTCTAGGAGTATCTGATGAGTCTACAATTACCTCTTATATTCTTTTCCCTTCATGTAATGAACATCATTTATATGAGATGCACAGGTTAAGAGCAAAAACCTCATGTTTTCATTTACAGTATGACACAAATGTCAGTTGACAATAGAGAAAAAACAACTTAGCCTAAAATCTTAGTTTTTGCTTGGCAGGTGCTGATTGAATACGCTTAGCGGAAATGTATATCAACCATGCTGACACCAGAATGAGTTGAGCTTGTTGTTCTGGTGTCACCCCATCCAATCCACTGATCACCAAACATGTTATTCAGTTTCTGATGGACTGTGAGAGCAACGTGTGCAAAGAGCAAATTCATTGTTCTAGTGTTAGCATGGTTGGTATGCATTTTCATTAAGCATATTCAGTCAGCACCTGCCAAGCAAAAACAAAGATTTTAGGCAAAATTGTTTTTTCCCATTTGTCAACTGACTTGTGTCACACTATATTTAAGGATTGCAAATGCCTCATAATTAGAAGCACACAGCTCACATATTCTTGCCACAGGTTAGATGGACTTACAAAGCCTGCAAGTGAGAATGAGAAGATATGAACATGAGCTAAACTCACAACCAAAAACAATTCAATGAACAGATTTAAAAAAGACAGATTGAGGAGGCCAGTATGCTACTAACTGACAAGGACCCAAAGTATGGAATCCCTCCAAAGGAGATGAAGTTCTGCATCCCTTGCTTCATTGATACGCCTTGCAAATATTCCCTCCCAGTTCATCATTTTCAAAACCTGAAACAAGAAAAAGTCACAAATACATATAAGTTATGGAGCCAGTACTAGATTTTATTACAAATCCAAACTAGATTTTTCAAATCTAGAAAAATTTACAAAATGGAAATTAGCAGGAATAGAAATAAAAGTAGCACTATCCAAGAAAGAGTCTGGAATGAAGACACCTAAAGTAACCTTGGTATTTAAAAGGCTTGTTGTGAAACAGACCTTAATGCCATGTGTCATCTCTGTGATGAGCTTAAGACGGGCATCAGTAGCATGAAGGATAGAATCCTGAGTGGAAGAGATCCGTTTTGCCAAGTAAAATTGAAGGGGGGTCAAGATGGCAATTGTCACACTGGCTCCAATCAAGGCACTTACTCCCAACTGACTGTACAGCAGATAGAGGATCACTGATACCTATCGGACAATAACCACAACCAGTTCATTGCAGCAGATTTTCTTTCCATGAGCCCACTAATAATCCATCCTAGTCATAGTAATGTTAAAATATGATAATGACTGGCTTAGGTTCCAAAATATTGATCCACATAGCATAATGAACCATTCAAGTCATTTGGCTTCCTCATTGTTTTCTATGGTCCCATAAGCCTATAATATTTATGTAAGTTCTTGACTAGACTGCCTACTTTGAGAGGGATGGCCCAGACATAATGGCCCATCCAGAAGAACATCATTATGTTGGTAAGATCCTCGGACAAGAGATTCAGCACTGTCCCTTTTGTCTCTGACTGCTTCTTGTCTTTCTTGATGGAAATTCCATCCCTGTTCTGATCTTCCACTTCCTCTTCCTCATCCATCCCTCCCAACTCTTGGGATAGCCATGATGGGAGTCTCAGGCACTTCTCAAACACCAGGGCCTAATTCATGCCTAAATATGAGTCATGAATCACAAAAGACTGAGGACAAAACTTGATTAATGCAGGAAAAGGCTTGCCTTGAGGGCCACACGAAGTCTGATCCCAGCAACATTGTTGCAGTGTGATGAAGCTTGGGAGAGGATGCCCTGGGCAAGGGAACTCAGCCATAGGATGATTACCATCACAAACCCATTGGAGAAGAACTCTCCCAGCGTCAAAAGCCCTTTTTCTTGTTCCTAGAACGAGAAGAGGCAGAAAAATTCCAGAAAATAAAATATAAGAATAGATACTGCAGTCATGAGATAGCTATTTTAAGTGACAAATTTCTTCTGCATAGAATTGTTACTTTTGCAAGTATGACTCAATAAACTAGTGAATGCCTCCAGAGGAAAGAACACACCTATATCAAGACAAGAGGGGCAGTATAGAAAGTAGAGACCTCTGTGAATTATTATCAAATTTCCTTGATTTCCAGTATTAAAATAGTCCTCTACTTTGGATGCAGGTAATGAAGATATTTACATTCTGCAATCCAACCTAAAGTATCACTGTAGGCTTTTGTTTTATAATGTACTAGTATTAATCTTGACAGTTCTATGTTTGAGCAATTGCACTACTTAAAATAAAAGGTTTCTTTATCCATATAGGGAATGGGTCTAATTTCCATGTGTGCAAAAAAAAAGTATTAAATAAGGAAGTCAGTTTTTCTTACTTGGACATGATCTTCATCCACCTTCACAGTTTCAAAGGTAGCAACAAATGTGATAATAGCATGGACAGAAAGAGGAGCCACATAACCCAAAAGGTCTGTGAAAAGACGCAACACGCCTCCAACAATCCACAATGGAGAGGCAAAGTAGAGCATGTTCTTCCATGTCAGTTGCCCAATGCTCTTCACAGTTGGATGTTTTGAAGCTTGAAGGATCTCCAAGAGTTTTTGATGGAGGCCACTTGCTTTCTCTTCAGAAGGGATTGTGCCTAAGTCATCAAGCTCCAGAGGTTTCCAGTAGCCCTTCCAGAGCAGAGGATTGAGCCAGAAAAAGCAAGCCTTTGAAGGTAAGATTGCAGATGGATGAGTATAGACTGCTGTTGACTCTGAATGTGGCTTTTGAGATGACCAGGACCTTTCATGCTTGTTCTTCACCTTCGAATATCGCTACAAGATGTCAATGCCTTTTAATAATGGAGTGTGGCAAAGGTGCATCTTAAGAAAACAGGCTATACTTACTGATACTCATACCTGAATAACTTGTTAATAGGTATTTTCACAAAATAAAGTACAAAGCAGAGAGACAGTTATCCTCAAACTAGACAGACTGAGGCCCCAAAGGCAGTTAGGAAAGCAGCACACCTAATTACCTGACTAGACACATGTATGTCAGTGTTTCATAACATCCATGCCACTAACTAAAGTTCAAGTTTTCAGTCAGGAGTCTTTGATTAGTAAAGGTAAAGGTAAATATTCCATTTCATGCTATTCACAGAAAAAAGCAATTCAGAAAGTTAGTGAAAGTCACCTAAAAATAGCTTTAGCATATCTGTAGAGAAAAATAATTTTTGATTAGGAATTCTAATAAGACTAACTCACTCACCTTCACAATGAATGTCACCAAATCAACACATACAAGGGCCACATAGAAAACAACAAGGAGTGCACATGCAACAACTACTAGATTCTGGAAGTCCAGACCAAGTGAATGCATCAAAAATAGGACATATACATGCAGCACACCTTCCGTGGATGCAAAGAACAAGAGGACACCAAGGAATCGTGGAAGGTCCTTTTGTTCAATTATGACATACAATCTCATCCATAGGAAGATAGAAAGTATATGGAAACATGGTGACAGAACTGCCACTATCCCATATGATGAGGATGTCACTTGAAAGGCTGCAGCAGCAAGTTCTATTGCTTCTAAAATCACAATTATAATTAATAAAGCCCATCGAGCTGAATGATGTGGGAACAGATGTCTGCTGTCGGGTTTTTGCCTTAAGGCACAGGTGAGGAAGACACAGAGCACCAAGGATATGACCAGGTAAACAAGTGACAGGAGGATTGACACAAGAAGCACAGCACTGATGTGGGTTATGAGATTCTCAAAACACTTGCCCTTGGAATCTGTTAGATTCTGGGCAAGCCACTGCCCACATTCTTCTGAATTGCTAGATGATGAGGTAGAATTCTGAACTTGATTGCCAAGAGGGTGATTTCTCCACCATGTCCCAGGGAAGGCCATATCTATGAGATATAAATTTATGCCAACCAGAATTAGGCTAGCTAAGACAACATTTGCAGAACAAAATATCCCACAAGGACTAAGAATATTTCATGTACTGCCTGAGGATATAAGGGCTGCAAAATCAACTCAAATCTTTAAAGCTAAATTATTAAATTTTCAGAAGAGTCTAGAATAGAAAAGAGCTCCTTTCAGGCTGATTAGACTGAATGGATTCCTGAGAAGAAAAAAAAGAAACCACACAAACAAACAAACAAAAAACAGCAATACATTCAATCAATCAAATCATTTTTTTTTGCATCCCAACCTGGTCATTCAGGACAAACCCAATTGGGTTCAATGAATAGCCTTATTGCCATTATTTGCATTTGCATTTGCATTTTCTCTCTCTCTCTCTCTCTCTTTTATTTATTTATTTATTTATTTATTTATGTATTGTCTTTCATTTTTGTCATTGTCTTGACCTTCATCTTTGTTCTTTGCCTGCAAATATGTGGAAATATATTCAATTCTATTCTATTCTAGCTACAATGGCACAATTCCTGATATAAATAGGTCTAACTTGAGATACATATAAAGACCAAAGTATCAAGAAAAGGAGTGAGTGAGGAAAATAAAAAAAAAAAACAGGAAGCATGAGAAGGGAAAAGATATCCTGGCAATGAATCAAACCTCCATTTGCAAATGGAAGCCAGGAAAGAACCAGATACAAGTTTCTTCAATTTCTCTATCATCTTTAAAGGAGATACTGAACCCATTTTTCAACCATGCTCAAATAAGTACTAGAAAATCATATGACTGTATGTATTCATGCACAATATTGTCTAGGTTGGAAGCCATGTGGTATGTGAAATTAATGTTTGTGTGACTTCATAGACGGGCTTTACAGAAATCAAGACTGACTATCAAACACCAGCAGACATGGATGCTTTCCATTACACTGGCCTCCCCCAATAGCACCAGATATTGGCTCAATGCTGGACACATTGGGTACATTGACTACATCTTGGGCAATATTGCCAATATAGGCTAAATATTAGCTCCCCCAATATTACCATTCCGTCATCGATCTAATATTGGACGGACGCGATGATTCATTGTGCCCGACCGTACTTAAAAGTTTTTGAGAAATGTTGAAGTTCTCCTTTAGGCCACTAGATGGAAGTACAGGTCTCGTTTTTGGTACAGTACACAAAAGTACCCTTCCCTCTTTTCCTGTAATCGTCCCTCACAGGAACGTTTAGCAAAAATAAAAAATAAAACCGATAATCTCACTCCTCTTCGGCTCAGGTGGACCTAAACATTAAGCGCCCCAAAAATATTGATACTGCATACATATTTACATACATTATCTTGGCCGCTTTTCCCAATTTAATGGGGTCGCGATTCGAGCATACCCAGGAGCGTCCTCCAGTGATCTCGATCCTGGGCAACAGATTCAAGCTCAGCTGGTGGGATGCCGAGCCTCTCGTGACAAAGCCGAGCGACGTAATCACTCCACCTTGTACAAGGTCTACCGACAGGTCTTTTGTCGGTCATCTTGGCCTTGAAGACTCCTCTTGGAAGCCTCTCAGGGGGCTTGCGGCCGACGTGTCAAAACCACCTGGCCTGAGACCTCTCGATCCGGAGAAGCAGGTGCTCGACGTGGAGACGCTCGCGGATGGCAGAGTTTCGCATCCGATCACGGCGCGTTACGCCAGCCACTCGATGCAAGAACCTCATTTCGGCAGCTTGTATCCGCGATCTGGTGCTTTCGGTCATTACCCAAAGTTCATGACCATAGGTGAGGGTGGGGAGATAAACACTCTTAAAAACCGAGAGTATTGCTTCCCTAGAAACTTCCGCTCTGGCAACCACGGTTCGCCAAAGTTCCCGCAGAACTGCAGAAGCCTTGCAGATGCGGTTGTCGATCTCGTTTCCGTGTCGCCCATCACTCAAGAACCAGACCCCGAGGTACTTGAACTTCTCCACCTGTTCCAGTGGGACCCCACTGAAATGCAGGGTGCACCGAGCAGGATTTCTCGAGAGGACCATGACCTGTGTCTTGGAGACGCTCAGTTTCATTCCGGCCGCAGTGCATTCGGAGTCGAACCGATCGAGCACGCTCTGGAGCTCCTGTCGAGAGCGGGTCAAAAGAACGGCATCGNGATCGAGCACGCTCTGGAGCTCCTGTCGAGAGCGGGTCAAAAGAACGGCATCGACGGCAAAGAGAAGTATCCTTACCGCGACGTCACCGATGTTGACCTCCTCCAGGTCGAGGCTGCGCCTACAGATCCTGTCCATGTACACGAGGAACAGGAAAGGTGAGAGGACACAACCCTGCCGGAGTCCAGCGCGTACCAGAAATCAATCAATCAATCAAACCAATCCGAATTCCTCCCGCTCACTCGGACGCAGCTTCTGCAATCGCTGTAAAGGGACTGAACGACCCGCAATAGTTGACCCTTGATCCCATACTCCTGCCGCACTCCCCACAGTTTTCCTCGGGGTACACGGTCGTAAGCTTTTTCAAGGTCCACAAAGCACATGTAGTCATCTTTGGCATACTCCCAATGTCTCTCGAGGATCTGATGGAGAGTGAACAGCAGGTCCGTGGTGCTGCGCCCTTCACGAAAGCCGCACTGCTCCTCTTGGATGGCATCACCCACGACTGCCCGAGCTCTCTTTTCCAGCACCTTGGAATAGACTTGTACCCATTGCTTTCAGAGTCTCCTCCCGGATTTCATCAACACCAGGAGACTTCCCATTCTTCAGGCTAGCAATGGCCTGTTGAACTTCCTCCATGGTGAGACTAGTCTCCGTGCTGAGAGGCTCCAGGTTGGGTAGGTCAGTGTTCACTGTTGGTGGGTTTAAGAGCTCTTCGAAGTGTTCCTTCCACCTCCTAAGTATATCCGCCTCGGTAGCCAACACCTCCCCGTTTCGGTCTTTGATGACCCGGAGCGTATGTTGCCTGCCTTGCTGTAACCTTCGGATGGTTTGCCAGAACACCTTGATGGCAGTGCGATAATCTGATTCCATTTTATCGCCGAATTCCTTCCACGCCTCCTGTTTCGCTTTGGCCACAACACGAGCAGCAGTTCGTCGCGCCTCGGTATAGCACGCCCTAGAAGAATCAGACCTACTGGACATGTACGCCCGGTAGGCTACCTTCTTGGCAGTAACAGTCCTCAATGGTTCGCGCGTCCACGTCGTGAGGATGGACCCCAGTGATGCGGAAGGCCGTAGTATTTCAGGTCCAACCATGTTATAGGGGCTTCCGTTGAGGGTGACCAAGACGAACCAAATCCAACATGATGAGTTCGCCCAGGATATTCAGGACTGCGATAGTCACTGTGCGCCCAGGGTGACTATTGATAAGTTGGCTACTGAGGCCGGGCAATCCGATGTCTCTGGGTGCGTCGAACCCCGTCATGCTACATCCAGGCCTATCGGTCGGCTTGCCACCGGCCATAGCGTACTCTCGGCACGATGCCCCAAGCGCAGACCAGGTGCGGAACACTGATACTAACCTAAATAAATCCAGGTTGCTTTCTCAATAAGGTCACATAGTTCCTTACTCTTTAATTAAACTCCTAAAGATAACAAACCTCAAGAGAGAGATCCTGGGGGGGGGGGGGAGCAGTTCTCTCTCGGGCTGACTTCTCCCCCATAGCCACGAGCCACCTTCTCAGGGCTAAGTCATTAGCTTCATGAGAGTCTTGCTCTCTGCCCACCCTATTTTCCTGAGCATCGTTAATTCCTTTTGCACAGGACACTTTGCACTGGTTGCCTTCTTGCAGCATGAGCGTAAGCTTTCTCTAATAGGGTGTGCATTTGTGATGATTTTGAGAATGACTTAAGCTGTAGTTTCTTTCAATCAACAACCTTTCAGCTATGTGTCCTGTACTGACAGATTGGATTGGAATTAGCTGAATGCATGGTAGTGCCTTTCCCCAGGCTACACTTTTCTTGATAATGCCTTGTTTTACGCCTGGTCCTCCCCCCTTTTTCGCTTTTCCTTCATAGGCTTGAGCTTTCCCAAGCCATGCTCTCGCTTCATTCCGTTCTAGGCTTGTGTCTACCATACATTTCAGCCGTGAGGCTGGTCGAGCTAATCGATCGTTTAACTGTGGCACTGGCTGATGGCTGGGATTGCTTCTGGGGTATTAAGTACTACCTCTACTATTTACATCTACAGCCGTAGCACCTGACGGCAGAAACTCTCTGGATAGGGTTTGTGAGTCAGACTTGTGGCCTCAACCCCCTGACGATGTAGGCTGCCTGACAAATTTCTAGGATAGGATCCTTCGCTGTCCCTTCTTTTTTTAACTTCCTTTAGCCTTGCCCCATACCTGCAGGATGTCTCTAATATTCAGACTCTCATCTCTAAGTTCCGCGCTTTTGGGTCCAAAGGTTGGGCATTTTCTGTTGCCCTTGGGTGGTTTCAGACAATTTCAGCACCTAATAACTTCTTACTCTCTCTC